GTGGGGGCAGGGGCTGGGAGCCTCTAAGAATGAAATGATCTATAGGATCATGTGTAGGCAATGCACTGCAGAGTTTCCAAAATTAAGTGAAAAGTCTTCCTTTTTTCCATACACTCCCCGTTTATAGCAAGTGATAGCAAAGCACCTTTAGATAAATAGGAGAGGTAGTCCAGAGGCCTTCACACTCAGAATATGCAGGTACGCGGGCGCGCGCGCGCGCGCACACACACACACACACACACACACACACACACACCACCCTCCTCTACTCTGTGACCTGGGTGAGTCACCTGGTACCGTTCTGCATTATTTCCTTGAGAGGCTTGAACTCTTCAGAATCTAAATTGGAAACACCCATCCAGCACCCCGATCTATCTTTCTAGGCGAGACATTGAGGCACAGGCTGATCAAGGGACTTATACTCAGAGCTGCGTAGCCAGTTCATGGCAGAGCCAAGACTGGACCCAGCCCTTCGCCTGCGGCCTTTCCTCCCGGGGACCACAGTGGCAGTTGGGCTGTTCCAAACATCAAGCTATTCCACATGGGCAAGTGTTTTGGGGGGAGGACTAAAACCTAAATTATAAGAAGGTGGCAGCCAGAGGAAGATACAAAGGAAGGGCCTCTCAGACAGAGGGCGCTGCAATGACAAGTGTTCTGAGACAAGGACACGATGGCATGTTAGAGGAACAGAGAAGTCAGGGGTAGAAAATTAGGTTGGAGAAGTAGGCCCAGGACTGACCATATAGGGCCTCACAGATCATGGTAAAAAACTTGGATTTTATTCTAAGTGTAGTGGCATGTTAACTGGGAAATTTTAAAGAAGGGGATTTCATAATGTGACATGATTTTATTAAAAGGCCACTCTAGTGATGTTGAGGAATGGATTGTGAAGAGCAAGAATCAAAACTAAAAAGCCCAGGGGAGACTGAGGTGGCCAGGACTGGGCGTAGAGGCAGTGGAACTAGCGCCCCCCGCTGGCCATGTGCTCCGCCCAGAGGCAGCCTGCACCGCAGGGGGCTTCCAGCCCCCTCAGGCTCTCCTAGGAGACTGGTTCTCTTGGTTCCTGCTCCTGTAAGGTGGCAGCTGGGCTTCCTAAACTTGGATTGGTTGCTGGGTCAACACACTCAGAGCTAAGTGACAGACCCACCTGTGCGGGACTGGTTACCATGGTGCTTCTGCAAATGCAAACAAAGTGCTGTCATTCTTCTCCAACCCTGAGCCCAAGGGAAAAATCACAAGAGTGAGGGTGAACTATATGTGGAAGCCAAGGGTACAGGTAATTGGTGGGCTGAGTCACTAGGGGCCTGCTCAAATTAGGCTATTATGGAAGCATCTGAGGAAGGAGAGTAGAAGAGGAAGGGGCCACCTCACCACATGCTGATCTCAATCCTTTGTTTCTTCTTGTTGTAGGGCTTCTTTGAGCCGCCTTCCACTGCGGGATGCAACCTTGTTGTTGACTGAGACCTGTATGGAAAACCTCTGCTCCAATACCCTCCCCATTGTCCTGGGGAGGGGGCAGTTCTAGGATGACCCAAGTCTGGGTCATTAAAGTGGACTTTCATGCAAACTCTTTCTGTGACTTGTCTTGAGGAGGATGTGTGGGGTTTGGACCTGGCCAGGGCCTCTGAAGTAAAAAAGGCAGGATCAGAAAAGGGGGTGGAGGTGGGGAGAGCACAGCTCCTTGGTGCTGGCAGAGGCTGGTCTCTGTCCCGTTTTCCTCCCTGCAACCATTCCCGAAGTGGGGAAAGTGAGGGCAGGACCACAGCTGGAACGCCAGTCTTCCCCACCAGCAGCCTTCCCCACTGGCACCTACTACATCTACATCGTGTGTGGCCTAGTTGCCCATCCTTTCATGTGAGACAGGCCCGCACCCTGCTGTTTTATGAGAGTCTTCACTTCCAGCTTCACACCTCTTGCCAGGGCTCTCCCACTCATCCTGCTTCCAAGTATCAACAGAGAAGTGCTACAAAGTGTACACACATTAAGTGTTTTGATGGCTCTTGCCAGTTTGTTTCTCCTAGCTTAAAATCTAAAAAGGGAGCAGGGCTCTAGCAGGTGTGGTTCAGTTGGCTGGGTGGTTCTGCAGACTGGGAGGTGATGGGCTTGATGCCCAGTCAGGACACACGCTGGGGTTGAGGGTTTGGTCCCCAGTTGGGGTGGCTGCAGGAGGCAACTCGTCGATGTTTCTATCTTGCATCCTTGTTTCTCTTCCTCTCTTCCTCCCTCCCTTCCCCTCTATCTAGAATCAATAAAAGAAAAAATTTAAAAGGGAGTGGGTAATCCTACCCCCATGCTCAGCTCAGCCAAACACTGGAATATCCTATTTGCAGAGCTTTGTACTTCTCCAAGTACTCTTACTGATTGGATATTCACAGGTGTAAGCAAACAGGTAGGTATTACCTGTCTGTCTCTAAGAGCTAACAGAGTTGTATACATGTACAAATAATCACGCTATAGCTATCAACACAGGTGTGTATACTTTACTGGGTATGTTTTAATTTGATAAATAACTATGAATCTCTCAACAATGTAAAAAGTGAATAAGAGAAAAATTATTTTTGAAAAGAAGTTGGAATCATTCACTCTACCTGCTATCAAGATTTAGTATGAAGCTGTAGTAATTTTAAGAGTGTGCTATTGATGGGCTGAATCAACCCCGGTGATCAAGGCGGTGACAGATGTCGCAGCCAGATCGCCCTCACATCCAGCAGGTGAGGTATTGATGAGAGGGTCGACAGGTGGATCTATGAAAGGAAGGGTCTGGAGAAAGACGCACAACATGGACCCTTTATAATAAATATGGCGGAGAAGAGAGGGTAAGCTTTTCAATAAATAGCCCAAGAAACATTCAGTAACCTTGTAGAAGAAATATTCACTTTTTTCCATAATTTAAAACATACATACAAATAGAATCCAGGTGGATTATAGATCAATGTGAAGAATTAAATAATAATGCTTATTTCATAACTTTAAGCTACTTAATGGTTTTATTTCCCTTCTCTGAACTCCCACTCTGCAAAAGTATGTAGATGAAGCATTTAACAGATAAGACAATAACTTCATGTCCTAATGGTTGTAAATGATTTCTTAAAGAGGAAACAAAAGTGCTAAAAATAAAGTAAATATGGTACATTTGATACATTAAATTAAGATAATCTACAAACCCTTACAGCTGAAGTAAGACAGTTTGAGGGTGCACTATTTTTTTCTGCTACTGTGTGAATGCAAATGTCTTCTGTGTCTGTCCTGATAAGAATGAAAAGAAATAATTGTATGAGCCAGCAGTTGTCTAGTATAAATATAATAAATATATAGTTATATATGGAAATTAAAAATTTCTAGTAGTCACATTTTTTAAAAAGTTAAATAAATAGGGCTATGTCAACTCTATCCTCCTCTGTAAATGATTCAATTGGAAATATACAACATTACCTATAAAACATTTCACTTAAAATTGTTTTAACCTGATCCAATCAAGACTTTAGACATAATTACCAGTTTACAGGAAATAAAGGGGAAATACAGGATCTATACCGGGGAAATATATCATGAGGAAATAATCAGACAACTTCAGAAGAAAAGCTGACCTCATCTCTTCAACAAGGAACTATCAAAAATTGATATTTGTAGGAAGGGGAGGAGCCCTGAATATGCTAATTTAAACAGAATTAAGAAACATAACCAAACATAATGATGGTCTATGACTCCTATTTTGAACAAAACAACCAAAAATGCATTTTAAAAAACAATTTGAGAAATTTGAATATGAACTGAGTATCAAATAATTTTTGGGTCTTTTTGTAAAGTTTATGGGATGTCATAATAACATTTTGATTATGTGAAAAAATATCTTTATTTCTTGGAGACGCATATTGAAATATTTGCAGGGAAATATGTCTATTATTTACTTTTAAGTACTAAAAGAAGCAAATATGGCAAAATATTAATAAGTCTAGATAATGAGTGCATGAGTATTTATTACACACTGCTATCATTTCTTTTTGTATTTTGGAAAACTTTTACTGAACAGCAAGAGAGTAAAGTGATCGAACGTGAAGTTTAGAAAGCTCACTCTCTAGCTCATTGGGAGACAAAAGTGGAAGCCAAACACAAATTAGTCGATGGCCACAGCAGCCGCGAGGAAAGAGCGCGGCGGTTTAGGGCGGATAGCGAGTATGGAGAGACGCGGGCCAACGGGAGATACGGTATTTTGCAGGTAGACCACAAGAATTTTTGATAGACTCGACCTGGAAGAGGGCAGAAGAAGGAAACTGAAGGCTAATGACAAAAGTAAGTGTTCACCGAGTGTCTGGCAAATGACAGTGCAATCGTTGTTCTAAGAGATCCGCAGGCGTTTAATTCCTGTAATCCTCACCTCCACCTTGTGAGCTAGGTGCTCTTAGCACCTCCTTTCTACACACCAGGGAATTTGGGCTCAGAGGGGTTAAGCAACTTGCCCAGAGTTGTACCCTCGGTAGGTGGCCTTGCCAGAACTGGAATCCAGGCACACACGCGTAACCATTCCTGCTCTTAACTGAGATGCGTACGAGTGTCTATTCTGTTCACGTTTATGCTTCTCATCTTAAGGTTTTTACTACTCTACTCACGTATCTTTGCTGGTCCCCACCCAACTACAACCCTTTTCACCAACTCTGTGACTGGGTAATAGAGGTGGTGGCCTGTGGGGAAAAGCATCTGTCAAAACGGGTAGGGCCAAATGGAGATTCTAGCGACTAACGTACGACGTGTAGTGGAGGAGGGATGGGGGGCGGGTAGCTCCCACGCCAAGACGGTGCTTTGACGCCACGTATGACGCAAATAAGCGTAAGAGCCGAGGGTGGAGATGTCGTCACCACCCGCCCGGGGTTGGCCGAGCTGCCGCGAGAGGGGCGTGTAGACCCCGCCTCGCGGGTGGGTGGGAGCGGCAGGCCCCGCCCTGCGCCCTCCGGCAGGCTCCCGCCAGCGTCTCCGCGGCTCGGGCTGGGGAGCCTGCGCGCGGAGCCCGGGAGGATGCGGCGCCCGCGGCAGCCTGGGGGTTCCGGGGGATCGGGGGGTCTCCGGGTGCTCCTCTGCCTCCTGCTGCTGAGCGGCCGCCCGGGAGGTTGCAGCGCTATTAGTGCCCACGGTCAGGAGGAAAGGGGGACCCGGGGTGGAGGAGGATGGGGCCGCGAGCAAAACTCAGTAGGGGGCGGGGGGCGGGAAGTGCCTGGAAGGTGGTACGCTCGGGTAGAATCGGAGTGGAGTGGGGTCGGGGAGGCACTGGGAGACGCGGAGGACGAGAGGGCTTCTGCGAAGAAAGGGGCGTAGGCCTGGAGGTGGGGCAGGGCAAACGGGGGCGGGACCTCGGAGAAGGGAGCTCGCGAAGGTTGCGGGGTTGGGAGGAGGGATGCGAGTGCGGATGGACAGGGGGACTTAGAGACCGGCTACAAGTCCCCGGGAGAAGCAAGTCGTGCCGAGGCACCGAAGAAGTGACGACCGGTGCTGATGGGTGGAGAGGGGCCTGGAGGAGGGCGGGGACCCCGAGCTCCGGGCCGGGCCGTAGGAGTCGGGGCCGCGAGCATCGGAGTGCCAGCTCCTCGTAGAAAGTTAGGCCTGGGGAAGAGTCGGGGTTTCCCTTTAGGCTTAGAGGGGCCGATTGCTGTGATCTGATCTCCAACAAGAGAGGGGCAGCTGGGGTAGGGGGCAAAAGCGGGTGCAGGGGGTTCTCTCCCGTCCCCCTCCCCAGAGCCTGGCCCGGTGCTGACTCACGTCTTTGCGGACAGAGACAGTCAGCGCTGACTCACGGGCTGGGGGCGGGGGGGCGAGGGGCGCGCGGGGGAAGGGGCGCAGCCTAGCCGCCGGGCGCCTTCCTGCGCCGCGCGCCTGGCGGCTAATGAAGGATGCTTCCTGTGGCGCTGTGTTGGTAGGACGGTAGATGAAGGCTGGAGCGGTGGAGGGCTCCCGTGCCGTGGAGACTCCTCGCCCTGCCACCCCTTCCTCCTCCATAACTGCTTCCAGGCAAGCCCTCGGCGGCCCCAGCTCAGGGCTTCAGCACCGCGGACAGCGCCAGCGGCCCGGGGCCACGCGCAGGAGGGACCGCGTGGGGAGACTTAACCCCGCCCTTTTCCCTGTCCCACACAGAGGGGAGATGTGCTAGGGTTTTTACCTCTTCTGAGTCCCAGCCCATCATAGTTAGGACACTTTCGGCGATTTGGGAAGGAAAGTTTCCTTCCCTCAGAATTTGGCCACAGACTCCCCCATAATAATTCTATGAGAATAGAAGTGTATGATCCTACCCCCACGCGCCTGGAGAGCTCCTTTTCCCCATCACTCAGTTAAGTAAACTGAACCTTTTAGAGAAAGGATCCAAGACTCACAGATCCTTAACATCCAAAGCCAGATCCTGTGTTTCCTTAAGAATTCTAGGCCTCTTCCCTCCTCTCCTCTCAGTTTAAACCTTCCTAGGATGAAAAAATCGAACCCATCTGCTTGCCACCTTCCCTGCCTGTCTATTCGTCTCACTGTTCTGTCTGTGTCGTTGTCTGAATCTCTGCTCACCTGTCCTTCTACAGGCTGTCTGTTTGACCGCAGGCTCTGCTCTCACCTTGAAGTCTGTATTCAGGGTGAGTGATGCTCGGGCATAGGACTTACAAGATCGGGGGGACACAATAAAGACTTGGGGAAGAGGCCTGGAAGGGAGGAGGGGTACTGGGCTGGGGCAGAAGGGCGACTGGCCTGCAGGAGCAGAACTCTCTGAAGCCAAGAGAAGAGGTGAAGAGAGTCCTGCCCACTTGCAGCCTGGACTTTGGAAGGCCTGTTGTTCATGTCCCTTATTAACACAACTTCTGTGCTCTTAGATGGCTTATTTGGACAGTGCCAGGTGGGCGTGGGGCAGGCTCGGCCCCTTTTGCAAGTCACCTCCCCAGTTCTCCAACGCTTGCAGGGTGTGCTCCGACAGCTCATGTCCCAAGGTGAGGTCTGAGTGCACCGGAGAAGAGAGACTGGAGCTTAACCAGATAAGGGCGAGGCAGTGAGGGGCTGCCTGACTCAAGGGTTTCTTTCATGGAACATTCCTGTCACACTTATTCCTGGTGCCTCACTTCCCCAGGCCTTGTGGGGGAAGGAGGCAAGACAGGAGAGTGGTGGAACCCTAAGATGGGCTATTCACACTTAAACTCTCTGGAGGAGCCCAGAGGAGGCTTCTAGAAGAAGCCCCTGGAAGAGGCCCACATCCCTCTCTTGAGGACCGTCTCACTCCCTGAAACCACCTGAGTGCTCCAGGGCTATGCATTCTGGGGTCCTCAACATTCCACTCATCCAGTTCACTCACTCAGCAAGTAATTATTGGGTACTTATTATGTGATAAGCATAGTTTTAGGTACTTGGGATGTAGGAGGGAATGAAACAGACACACATCTGTCTACTGGAGTTTACCTTCAAGGTTGAGGGGAAGCAATACAAATACTGTATCAGAAGCTAATAAGTGCCATGAAAAAAGTGAACATTTACAACAGGGTAAAGGGACCAGAAAATAGTGAGTGAGGAAGTTGCAGAATTAAACTGAGTGATCAAGATGGGCTTTATTGAGACTATGAAATTTGGACAGAGACATAAAGGAGGTGGAGGAGTTTTCTAGAAGTTTGTCTGGGGCAAGAGTGTTTCAAGCCAACCATAGAGCTAGAAGAAAAGCCCTAAGGTAGGAGCACGGGTCTGAGGAAACCATGGAGAACACTCTATGGTACGGCTGTACAGGAGTGATAGGCGGAGTAAAAGCTGCAGCCGTGCAGGTAATGGGGCAGGGACGCAGATCACCGTAGGGCCTTAGAGAGGATGTATGGACGTTGGCTTGACTCTGAGTAAAGAGGAAACCATCACAAGGTTTTGAGCATAGGGGTGCATAACCTCACTTCTACTTTAAAAAGATCACTCTTGCTGCTGTGTTAAGACTAGAATGCAGGGCGTCAAGGGTAGAAACAGAGAAGCCATTAAAAGCTACCACAACAACTCACATAAAAGATAAATGTGGCCTGGAGCCAGGCGGCTGCAGGGAGGTAGTGAGGAATGATGGAATGCTGCCGAAAGGGCTCAAAAGCAGTACAGACTGTCGATCTAGAATCAGGGAAGACGGGATGGGGCTGGAGAGCGGGAGATGGTTCCTGTAGGATAGGTGACTGATCTTTCCTGAGAGCAGCCTCATTGTGGGAAGAGATCAAACAGGAGATCTGCCTCAGGATGAGATGATGATGATGATGATGATAATAAGATGATGATGATGATGATGAAGAGGGAGGAAGTGGAGAAGGAGGTTTAAAACAGGTGTATAGTACCGTAGCATTTTCTAACCATTTTAATTTCCTTGATCACACTTGATTTTTGTAATAGCACCATGAAGTATATATTATTTCCACTTTAAAAATAAAGAAAAATAGGTTCAAGGTCAACTAAAAGAGGAACTAGGAATAATTGTGATCATTATAATAATAACATTTATTGAGAGTTCATTATGTGATGAGTACTATTCTAACCACTTTATATTGTGATATTTTAATTCTCACAACAATCCTACGAGGTATACGCCCCCATTTTACAGATGAGAGAATTGAGACTCAGACACACTCAGCAAATTCTCCAAGGTCACACAATTAGTGAGTGGCAGAGGATTCAAACCCAGTCTTACTCAGCAGCCTGACTCCGAAATCTGTTCCTGAGGGTGGGAGAGGACAGCTCAGAGCGCTCTCCAGAACCGCACCCCCCACCCACTGTCTCTCTACTCGGCCAAACTCAGTGCACTGCAGGGAAGGGATGCAGTTTTGAGCTCCACTGACCCTGCTATTGGGCCTTCAGACTGTCCCGAGCCAACATTACCCTGCCCTGTCCCCTGGCAGGATTGTCCTGGCACGATGACCTCACCCAGTATGTGATCTCCCAGGAGATGGAACGCATCCCCAGGCTTCGCCCCCCAGAGCCCCACCCAAGGGACAGGTAGGCTTTCTCAACCACTACCATGGGCTGGTGAGTCTGTGGTCACCCTGATGGACAGAGGGAAAGGAGAGGGACGTGGGCACCGAGGTCAGCAGGCTGGGCCATGGGTATAAGAGGTTCAGGAATGGTCCCAGTAGGAGCTACATTCATCCCTGAGGCTCCAGCACAACAGGGGTATTTTTTTAATGTAAAAAATTTGGATATTTGGTATTATAAAAGGAACATCAAAGTACTCACCATGGAAAAGTTAGAGTTTTATTGGGCGGAAGTTGTTAAATATTTAGTTTCATTACTGTGTGGAATTGTGTATGATAGGAGAGAATGCCACTCTTTTGTGATTAAGGCTTCTGAAGGCATTGTTCAGACCCTGAAAGCAGAGAAAATTAAAAGAGGGCATGGGGCACAGAGGATGATGCCAGGATGAAGAGGGCAGAGTGGGGTGGGGATGCAGAGTAGTAAACATCTGAACCCTCACGGAGAGCCAGGTGTTGGGGGACGCGCATGCGGGCAGTGGGGCAGGCTGCAGCCACAGTTGGAGAGAGGCGTCCAGCTGCCCTCCCCTACTGCCATTCTCCCCTTCTCCACCCCAGCCTCACGTTTCCCTAGCGCCTGCCCCTGTGTTTCAGGGACCTAGACATGCCTACCAAGGAGGCAACAACTTCTGCCCCCGGCTAGGCCTCTGGCCCTTCCCCATGCTATTCTCCCCTCCTGCCTCCTTTTGAAGAGGCCAGGCTTCCTCTGAGCTGCTGAGCCTGCTGGGCCCCACCAGCTCTGCTTTGTCAGCTCCATATGCCCTTGTCACACACAGCCAACCTTCTCCCTCCCACACACTCTGTGCTTTCCTCCCCAGATCTGGCTTGGTGCCCAGGAGACCTGGTCCCGCTGGGGAGCTGCTTTTACAGGGCATCCCCACTGGCCCCGCCCCTGCTGCCTCACACCGACTGCCTCGGCCTCCAGTGGGTGGGGACAGGGCTGGGGCTGGCTCCCCGCTGTCCCCTCTGCAGACTGAGCTGCTGCCCCCTCTCTTGGAGCATCTGCTACTGCCCCCGCAGCCCCCTCACTCTGCCCTGAGTTATGAGCCTACTCTGCTGCAGCCGTACCTGTTCCACCAGGTGAGCCCGGTCACTGCCCCACCCCCGCCCCAATCCCCAAAGCCTGATGTCCACGCTTACCTGGATCTCTGGTTTCCCACAGTTTGGCTCCCGCAATGGTGCCCGGGGCTCAGAGAGCTCCCCAGGGATGGTCAGTGCTGGCCCCCTGCCCAAGGCTGAACCCCCTGCCCTCCTCAGCAGAACCGCCCCCAAGGGCATGTTCAAGGCTCACTCTGGCCACTCCTATGGGGAGCCCCCAGGGCCCTCACCTGCCCAAGTTTTCCAGGAGTCAGGTCTGCTCTACCTGGCCGAGGAGCTGCCAGTGCCCAGCAGGGCCAGGGCACCAAGCTTGCCAGAGCAAGGGGACAGCAGCCAGGCAGAAGACTCCTCAGAGGGCTATGAGGAGGAGGGACCAGAGGGTCAGGGGCAGAAGCTTCCTTCCCCAGCAGAAAAGCCAGGTAACAGAGTCCTCAGCATCTACTCGCTGCCTGTGGGGTTGCTTTTGGGGGCTCCTTCCTGACTGTCCCTGAACTTGTTAATTTGTCATTGAAGTCGTCCATGCATTTAAGTAATGTCTACTGACAACCAGATCTATGCCAGGCAACTAGGTAGGCAGTGTGGATACGGTGGGGAGGGGGGTGGAGTTGACATGACTCTTTTTCAGTTGGAGAGTCAAGATGTCCATGAAGTTCCATCTGGGCCCCAGGAAGGTCTTTCCCCCACAGTGCCGACAAGGGCTGGAAGGGGAGGGCATTAGTGTCCTGGCATCTGAGAAAAAACTCTTAAATGTGCTAGTCCCTGCCTCCCCCCAACTCACGCATCTGCATCCCACAAGTTCATCTTGCCACCAGCCCTTAGCCCTGTGTCTGACTCCCAGCAGACGCGACTCTGCAGAGGCTGGCAGCTGTGCTGGCGGGCTACGGGGTGGAGCTGCATCAGCTGACCCCTGAGCAGCTCTCCGCTCTCTCGACCCTGCTGCAGCGGCTGCCGAAGGATGCAGGGCGAAGTCTGGGTGAGTGTCCAGGCAGAGAGACTAGCAATGGCCTCCTGCCCCACCTCTCAAGACCAAGTGTAGCGGCCTAGAGGGGAAATGTCAAAGGCAGGGGAGAGAGTTCTTTCGAGACGTGGGATCATTGCCAACAAAGGGCAGGGAGCAAGAAGGTGCAGTGGTGAGCTGTTAGACCAGGTTAAGGACTGAGGGTGGAAGTAATCAAAAAAAGAAGCCAATAGGGTATGTAAGCAGAAATCAAGAGGCACTGAGAAGGGTGGAGTGGATGATACTGAGGACCTAAAAAAGGGCGTGGCCAATCAGAAGGGGAAAGCGACATCTCTGGGTAGGGGGAGGACTAAACAAATAGTTTTGAGAGGTGTAGCCAAAGAGGAATGAGTTAATAAAGCGGTTAAGACAGAAGCACAGGGACATGAGGCCATGCTAAAGATGAGACCAGTGACAGGGTCTTGGTCACTGACTGCGAGGAAAGAGACCACAGCAGAGACATCAAGGTCGGGCCTCTGGCTCTTTCTCCCACTTGTGTTGTGTGGACCTTGGCCTTGGCCTTGGCCCTTTGCCCAGAGTTTTGTTTTTCTTGTCTCTGCAGGAGGGGCTGTAAACATTGGAGCTGACATCAAGAAAGTGAGTTCTCAGCACTTCCCTGACCCATGCGTGCCCCATGGCAGCAAACCCCCTCACTGAAATCTAAACCCCAGGATCAGGACCCAGAATCTGTAACGCCCAACCCCTCATTTTGGGAAAACTGAGGCTCGTGGATTGCAAGTCACTGCCTAAGTCTCAACTCCAGTGTATGGCAGAGCTCAGACTAGAAGCTAGAATTCTTGATTCGCTGCCTTTTTCAATAGTCGTTGAGCCCATGCTCCGAGGATCCTTAGGGGAAGAGGGGAGCTGTGAGTAGGCAGAGTCCTGATGCCCCTGGAACTTGAGGAACCCCATCTTGTCATGTCTAAGATTTGGTGGCCAGACCAAAGTCTAAAAACCTCCTACCCTAACCACACTCCAGAGATTTCCCCCCTCCCCAGCCCCATCCTGTGGATTGTCACTGATCATGTTCCACTCATTCAACCCTCCATTTATTCATCTACTTGGCTTTCTTTCCTGGGTGCCCTCTCTGTACCTGGCCTTGCACTGGGCCCTGGTGATAGAGAGAGAAAGAAGTCCTAATCACCACTGTAGGGAGCTCAGGATCTAGGGAGTAGACCCCCAGCCCTACACCCCCAGCCCCTTCCTAGCCCCTCCATTGTCCAGAGACCACAATTCTATCTTCTCTTCTAAACAGACAATGGAGGAGCAGGTGCAGGGTGGGGACACAACGGAGCCTCCGTCCCCTACATCCTCCCTGTCTGGATACCCCACAGCCCATCCCACCTCCAATAAAGCCCAGCAGGTGCTGAGCTCTGGATCCTCGGAGCCTCCCAGAGCTGCTGGTTCCCCCATCATGCCTGTCCTGATGGAGAAGAAAAGTCTTCTGGGCCAGAGCCAGCCCACAGTGGCAGGGCAGCCTTCAGCTCGGCCATCAGCAGAGGAGTATGGCTACATTGTCACTGACCAGAAGTAAGGCCCCAGGCCTGGGGAAGCCCTCCAGCCCTTGGGAGTTGGGCTGGCCTGCCTGGAGGAAGCAGAGAATAGAAATCCAGATGTGAAGTAGAAAGGGGGGTGGGCTGCTCTGCACCGCTGGAGGTGGTCTGTTTAAAAAGGTGGCCAAGAATGTCCCCACCTTCCTCTCTCCGCCTCCTGCCCACCTCCAGGCCCCTGAGTCTGGCTGCGGGAGTGAAGCTGCTGGAGATCCTGGCTGAGCACGCGCATATATCCTCGGGCAGCTTCATCAACATCAGGTGGGGCTGGCATCCGGCTGGGGAGGTGGGGCTCTAGAAGGCAGCTTGTGCAGCTTGAATGGGGAAGAGGCTGGAGGGACTCAGGGGAAAAGGGGAACAGTCTGAGGTGGGGTCAAGGACACTCCCAGCTGCACTGAGGGTACAGCCACACCCACTCTGTCCTGCCGCTGGCCCCAGCCAGTGTCTCCCTGATCTCAAACGCCCTCATAGGCCATCCCTGATCGGCTCCAGCCCCATCCTCTAATGGGGAGAGGGTCAGAGCTGGCCTCACTTTTAGAGTCTTGGGTCTAGAGTGGGTGAGGTAGTAACACAGCTCCTATTTGGCAGTGTGGTGGGACCAGCTCTCACCTTCCGCATCCGGCACAATGAACAGAACCTGTCCTTGGCTGATGTGACCCAGCAAGCTGGTAAATCCTGCTTGGCCCCAGCCCTAGCCCTAGTAGGATATACCCAGGCCCATGACTGACGTTCCCTTTGAAAATAGTCCAAGTCAACTTTGCCCCTGCCTGTCAACTGGCATAGCACCACACGGGGTGGGGACCACAGAGGGCTGGAGAGAGCCTGACCTACGACCTCCCTGCAGGGCTGGTGAAGTCTGAACTGGAGGCACAGACGCAGCTCCAGATTTTGCAGACAGGAGTGGGACAGGTATGAGCTAACTAGAGAATCTGTCAAAACCCCAGAAGGCTGATGCTGCCCACAAGAGACAGACGCCAACTTTGCCGGAGATCCGGAACTGAAACCTCTGCTATTTGGCTGGCTCACCAGCTTCTCCAAAGCAGCCCTTGCCCATGCAGGTTTTTTCCCTGGCCAGCAGATGGCCCCAGTGGCTCCTCCCTGCAGGACCAGCTTTCCATAGACAGGAAGGCAGCGGGCTTGGCAAAAACTACCTAAGATGCCTGTAGCCCTCCGAGCAATCTCTAAATTCCAAGGGACAACTTTACACAGAAAGGGCATTAAACTCAAAATGCACTTCTATTCTGCATCCAACACTGATGCCTCACAGTCTATTATTTAATCCCTTGGGTTCTCTCTCCACTTCTCTATGTCAGTTTTTAAATGCAAATACTCCTGGTGGGGGTGACCCACTAAGCCTCCGGGAGTGCATTGTGGCTGAGTTGGTCTGATGCAAGTTGAGAAGGAGGATTTCTGGTCCATCTGAGCCCTTATGCCTGTACCACCATGTCCCTGCCCTCCCAGTGTTGCCCCAGGGGTTATTCCAGCAGGGAGTGTGGCACAGGACAGCAGTGAGAAGCAGCTCCTAAATCTCTCCCCACCAAAGTCCCCTTTGTTCCTGCAGAGAGAGGAGGCAGCTGCTGTGCTTCCCCGACCGGCCCACGGCACCTCTCCCGTGCGTTCAGTGCTGCTTACTCTGGTGGCCCTGGCGGGTGTGGCCGGGCTGCTGGTGGCTCTGGCAGTGGCGTTGTGTGTGCGGCAGCATGCTCGGAAACGAGACAAGGAGCGCCTGGCAGCCTTGGGACCCGAGGGGGCGCATGGTGACACTACTTTCGAGTACCAGGTGTGCGGCCCCAGAAGCTTGTTGAGGAGACGGAGTGGAAGGGGCTTTGGACCCTGTGTCTCACAGGGGATGAGGTGGGGAGTTGTGTGGGGAGTGAGCACGCATCCCTTGGAATGTTTAGAGGGTGCCGGAGGAGCCCCAGTGGGAGTGTTGTGGGGTGTTTTGAAGGGATGAGAATTGGGAGCACGTGGTCCCTAAATTCTTCCCAGTGCTACAATTTTAGGGTCCTGGGATACCACTCTGCAATATCGAAGGTTGTCATGGGCCCTACCCACAGAGAACAGCCCCAGAAAGGACAAGGGCCAGGGCAGAAAACTACCCCAGAGGAGATGGGTGTCATTCAAAATCAATCAAGGATGAGCCTAGGGACCCAGAATTGAATCAAGGACCCTGTTGGAACACTTCAGGGGACTCTTGGACCCCTCTCGATCCTCTCTCTGCAGGATCTGTGCCGCCAGCACATGGCCACAAAGTCCCTGTTCAACCGGGCAGAGGGCCCGCCGGAGCCTTCCCGGGTGAGCAGCGTGTCCTCCCAGTTCAGCGATGCGGCCCAGGCCAGCCCCAGCTCCCACAGCAGCACGCCGTCCTGGTGCGAGGAGCCCGCCCAGGCCAACATGGACATCTCCACGGGACACATGATTCTGGTCAGGGCCGGGCCTGGGCCCCGCGGGGTGAGGGGCCAGGATGACAGGAGAGGCAGGGCTGGAAGGGCGGGCCAGAGCCAGGCTGCGGTGTCCCTGCAGGCGTACATGGAGGACCACCTGCGGAACCGGGACCGCTTGGCCAAGGAGTGGCAGGCCCTGTGTGCCTACCAGGCAGAGCCCAACACCTGTGCCACTGCCCAGGGGGAGGGCAACATCAAAAAGAATCGCCACCCGGACTTCCTGCCATGTGAGTGATCTGGCCCAGCCCTCTCTCAGCTGGGAGCGCTGGAGGGCATGGGGGAAGGGGCTGGGCTCCTGGCTCAGGCTGAGTGGCAGGGGTGCCAGGACCCCAGTAACGGGAGGGGCACCGGGGATGGGATGTGGGGTCTGTGCAGATGACCACGCCCGCATCAAGCTGAAGGTGGAGAGCAGCCCTTCCCGGAGTGATTACATCAACGCCAGCCCCATCGTGAGTGGCCCTGGCTCCTGCCCCCACCTCTGCCCCATTTTCAGTCTTCTCCCCTAAACTCCATTCCTGTAGGATCACCATCCACCCCACCTGAGTCCTGGAATTGTGGGGCTTCGTATCTGAGCACGGAAATGGGGGTTTCTCAGGCTCCTCCACATCCTGACCTTCTCCCTTTGACCAAGCCTCTCCACAGAGGCATTTCCCATCCTGGCTCATGGCGTATCTTCCCTGCCCCCAGATTGAGCACGACCCTCGGATGCCAGCCTACATAGCTACACAGGGACCGCTGTCCCATACCATCGCAGACTTCTGGCAGGTGGGCTCTTGGAGGAAGGGGCTTCTCCAGGGACCAGGGGTTCAGAATGGAGCTTACCTGAGTCTCTGTCCCTAGATGGTGTGGGAAAGTGGCTGCACTGTCATTGTGATGCTGACCCCCCTGGTGGAGGACGGTGTCAAGCAATGTGATCGCTACTGGCCAGATGAGGGCTCTTCCCTGTACCACATATATGAGGTCAGCAGGACCCCCGGGCCAGGAGACAACGGGAGTGGGGAAGGGGATGACAAGCATCCATATGTGTATGAATATATATGTATGTGAACATACATATGCACACACACATATATTCACATACATATATCTACATGGGGGGTGTGGCTGCGCCTGTCCATCCAGTCTAGGGCCCCAGAGCATTTGTAAGGACCTATCATGAAAGGTACAGAAATAAATCTATAAAACTGCTAACACCGGGGCCGGAAGCTGAGAGGGAAGGTGCATGTGCCCAAAGCCCCTTATTAACACCTACTTCAACTAAGTCCAACTTAGCTCTGAGTTCCCTGGAGGCCGGAGCAAAGAAAGAAATACCATTAGTCACATGTTGCTTGTGAAAAATAGGAAGAAACTTCTTCATTGGAATAGAGGGTGGCGAGGGAACTTGGCTGAGGTAAAGCAGGGAAAGGAGAAACAATTCCCGACCAATAGGAGGCCGCCCTCCTGTGAGACGTGTGGCCCAACAGAGGCTTCTCATCGCCAGATGAGCACTGGATAGTAGATTCTTCATCACCAGATGAACGCTCAGCTGTATTTTTTTAAAAAGGTTGTTTATTGGTCTTGCTCGCGGTTAAAAAAATAGAATGAAAGTAGTACAAAATTTCCGTTTATTTGTGTGCGGCACAGACACTTAGCTACACAATGTGAGGAAAAGGAAGGAGAAACTGGCCTCAAAGAGCTCACAATAGTTATGTGTAGGTAGCAAAGCCACCAGTTGTCCTAAGTGGTAGATAAGTGACACAGATAACTAGGATTCTTGGGGACAGCAGGGGCAGGCCCTTGGGTAAGCTTCATGGAGGATTTAGAATTTGTAGTGGCGTAAGAGCCTGGGAGGATTTGGAGAGGCCAAGGAGTGAGCACGCAGACGTGGAGAGGCCCTGATGCGCTCAGGCCAGCACCGCACTCCTGGGCAGGTGAACCTGGTGTCTGAGCACATCTGGTGCGAGGACTTCTTGGTGCGGAGCTTCTACCTGAAGAACGTGCAGACCCAAGAGACGCGCACGCTCACGCAGTTCCACTTCCTCAGCTGGCCGGCAGAGGGCACTCCGGCCTCCACCCGGCCCCTGCTGGACTTCCGCAGGTGAGGCCCTGGGGGTCGCGGCCCGGGGCGGAGCGGCGGTGGGGCGTCCTCAGACAGGCTGCGAGAAGCCGGGGAGCGGGCAGCACAGGCGCAGGGGCCCGGGAGCTGGGCTCCTCACCCCCTCCCAGCCCACCAGCTCCTCCTTGCCTTGGGAGACTGACCCTTCCGGACCCAGAGCCTGGCCTCTGACCTGCAGCCGCCCCCTTCCAAACGGCCCCAAAGCAGGACTGAGTCCCTTTCTGTGCCCGTCCCTCCACCGCAGCTCCGTTTGTGCTCTCTCCGATCTTTGCTGTCTCCCTCTCGGGCCCTGTTTTTCTCCCTGCCTCTCTGGCTCCTCTTTTACCCACTGCTCCCAAGAGAGGCTCCCGTTGTTTCTGGCTCCTCCGCTCTCTCCTTCTCTCCCTCTCCTTGGCCTCGGCCTGCTGACTCCGACTCTCCTTTTGTTTCCTCCTGTCCTGCTCCTCCAGGCCTCTGGCACTGTTCGCTGTGGCTGTTGTCCCCTCCCTATCTCTTACCCCTTTCTGCCCATCTCTCCTTCTTTATCCCTCTCTGTCTCTTTGCCCCTGCTTTTATTTCTCTTCCTCTCTCTCTTTCCTTCTCTTTCTCTCCCTTCCCTTTCCTATTCTGTCCCCCCCCACCTTCCTGCCCCCCTTATTTCTTTATCTCTCTGCATCGCTGTCTCACTCTTACCCTCTATCCCGTTTCTCTCTATCTGCACCTCTTGTTTTGTCTCTCCCCACCTCTCTTTTGCTCCACCTCCCTCCCATCTCTACCTATTTAGTTCTGCCTCTCTTTGTCCCTGTCCTTCCTTCTCTGTCTCTGTCTCCCCCTCCTTTGGCCTGTCTTCCCCCCTGTGTCCTTCCCTCTCCCCTCCCTCTTTGGCCTCTCTCTCTCTCTCTCTCTCTCTCTCTCTCACATACACACACACACACACACACACACACAGCTGCCAGTGTCATTTTTGTGATCTGCAGCTAGTATTCTCACTCCAGTTGCATAGTCACAAAAGTGATCATTGGCAGGTGTGGCTGCTGCATGGACAGGACAGACAGGACACATGGGCCCAGGGACCACCCCAAAGGCTGCTGGGAGGACCAGGGTTTGGGAGGACACAGAGAAGAGACAGACACTCTCAAAGGGAGTTCCTGAGGATCTCTTGGTTCTTGGGGACTCAGTGGAATGGTGGGGGCTGGGAGCTAACTGCGGGGCTTACCCTGTTCTGACACGGAAGCCACAGCCAGGCCAGGCCTTCAGCATCCACTGCCTTCCCCTCCCTGGACAGGTTGCTGAGAAGCCTGTGCCACTGGCAGGGGCCTCCTCAATGCGTGGCCTCCTCCTGCTTCTCTGCCCCTTGCCAGGCTGGCCTGAGGCCTCTAGAGGCTGGGCAGGGAGCAGAGAAACAGAGCTGGCGTGGGGCTCCGGGGATCGTTTCCAAGCCTCAAGACAATGGTTTATAACCGGGGCCCACAGGGCCAGAGGCACAGGCTTCTCAAAGCAACGCCAGGGCATCAGAGCGCTTTCCCGTTTTCCATATTTTAAAAATCCTCCTAGATCATAGACCCATTTTAAGGCTGTGCAGGTAAGCTAAGAGGTTGTGTTCCTTTGCTTTTGGTGTTAGACACCCAGAACAAATGAATGGCTACTTAATAAATACAGTATTTATTGAAGGTCAACCAGAGGGAAGGCAAAATAATTTTTTAAAGTCTCAGAAAGTGACCCCAAGCAAGTTCATTGACCTCCCTCTGTTTCCTTACCTGTGAAATGAGGATGGTGGCCCACACTTTAGCGGGCTGTGGCAAGAATCAATAGGGTAAAGTCTGCAAACTCTAGTTTAAGTGTCTGGCACATAGCAAGGCTCAGTTAATTCTAGATACTGTGTATTATCATTATTAATAAATAATTGGAAGCCACCATGGAGACTTCTGTTCAACCCCAGCCCTCAGACATATGGGCCAATGTGTTAGAAAACCAGGTGGATTCCTATTAAAGTGTTCCAAGTCACCTGGCCACTGCAAGTCTGGAGGAATCAGAATGGGGGACCACTAAGCTCCAAGCTTCCACTACAACCATCTGTTAACCCCTAAGAAGGTCCTCCCTAGTCCTGAACCATTGGGAGTATCAGGATTCTGCAGGTTACTTGTGAAGCAAGAAGGTTATAAGGGTCAAGGGCAGGTCAGATGGGGCCACTGAGGGAGGGAGAAATCCCCTGTTCCTTGGTAAGCTGTGATCAGGGCAGCAGAGCAGAGTCTGAGGTCCAAGTGGACCCCAAGTCTGCATGTGACCCCTCCACAGAGCCCTTGTGCTGGGGTGAGGCTGATGCAGGGGGACAGGCAGCAGCACAATGTTCTGAGTTGAGAGATTGTCCTCCACCGGCCAAAGGGACTTCGTGCCCAGAGCTACAGGACCTCACAGCCAGTGAACACCAAAGGGAGCCTGAGTGGACAGGGCATCAGCTGGGGCAGTTGCAGAGGAGGGCAGAGGGGCAGAGCAGTGATGTGGCAAGACCGACACCCCTGAACTCACCAGAAAGCCCATCTTCCCTGTCCTCCTGGCAGAAGTGGCTGTTCATATTGTTATGTATTATCATTAATAATAGCTACCATTTATTGAGCACCTGCTGTGTGCCAGACCTTGCACTTAGTTCTTTACACTGATTATCTCATGTAATCATGGTAAGATCCCTAAGGAGAGGGTTACTATTATTATCATCCCTACTTTACAGGCAAGGAAACTGAGGTTCAAAGAGGTTAAATCAGTTGTTCTGGTGCCTTGTTTGGGCACAGAGCTTGTGGGTGGCAAGGCGAGGCCAATGCTACCCACACCATCTCTGGTTCTTTGCCTGCAGCCCTGACTCGCGCTCCAGCCCCTTCCTCCTCTGTCCTGGGCACATGGGTGTGCATGTCAGTTCTCCTTTCCCTCTGCTGCTGCCCCCTGACCCTCTCACCCATGTTCTTCTTGCAGGAAGGTGAACAAGTGCTACCGGGGGCGCTCCTGCCCCATCATTGTGCACTGCAGGTGCGTGGAGAGGCGCCTGGGACGTGGGTGGCGGTGGAAGGGGCAGGACGGAAGGGCCCAGGTCGGAGGGCCCTGAGGCGGGGCGTTCCTGAAACGCGACCCGCCAGTCCTATACCCTGTTCTTGTCTCCCAAGCACACTGCCTGCCTGTCCCCTTGATGCCTGGAGGCAATCAACAGCCCGCGGACAAATTCAGCATATTGTGCTTTTTTAAATGGCCCATGAGCTAAGAATGGTGTTCACATTTTTTAATGGTTAAAGGAAAAAAAAAGAAGACTATGCCACAGAGGCGATACGTGGCCTGCAAAGTTAGGAATATTTACCACCTGGCCATTTACACACAAAAAATTGTCGAACAAAAGCCTGGCCAGAGGCTGGAAACCTATTCCCATTTCCTCCTGGTGTCTCCATCCCAGGGCTGAGCCAGGGCCTCCTTTCTTATTGCCCTACAGCCCAAGTGACAGCCCATGGCTCCCAACTCAAGGCTCAGTTCCAGGGGCCCAGGAGCTATAACCGGTCTCCCATCCCTACCTGGCTCACCGACAGCCTCCTGGAGCCAACCCTAGTGGCTCCGTCAGTGTCCTCCCCACTCCAAGCCTTCGTAGCTCCCCCACCCCTCCCCCTTTCCGCTGCCCACTGAGCTGAGCTGAGCTGTCACCATCTGCTGTTTCAGTGACGGTGCAGGGCGGACTGGCACCTACATCCTCATCGACATGGTACTGAACCGCATGGCAAAAGGTGAGGGCCTTCCCCGCAGCGCCTGCAGCCCAGCCCCAGGCTTTGCCCGGTCCCCCAAGCCTCCCACCCCAGGGTGGCCCAGGCTTTCTGGGTCCTGTCCTTCTCTGGACACCCCCTGAGCAGCCTGGCGCCCCCTGCACTTAGGAGTGAAGGAGATCGACATCGCCGCCACGCTGGAGCATGTCCGAGACCAGCGACCTGGCCTTGTCCGCTCTAAGGTGACTGTTCCTCGCTACCCCAACTCTCACTGCCCCCCTTCCCCAGGGAAACCAGCGGCAGCCTGCCTCTCCTGCCTGCCGCCCCTGCCTGCCTCTGTTCCCTCCCCCCACCCTGAGGACTCCCCGTCTCCCAAGCGACCTCCCAGCTCCCCTGCCTGAAGGCCCCTGTGGGGCTGGAGCAGAGACCGGGCCTTCCCATAACCCTCCTCCCTCTGCCCTTTCCAGGACCAGTTTGAATTCGCCCTGACAGCCGTGGCGGAAGAGGTGAACGCCATCCTCAAGGCCCTGCCCCAGTGAGCCCCCAGGGGCCCCTCGGTGGGCCGCCAGCTCCGTTCCTTCTTTGCCTGTGTGAGCATCTGTGTACCCACTCTTCATTCCGCCACCTGCACCTTGGCCCCTCCTGGGCGCATCCCTTCAGAGAGGGGTGTGTAAGGAAGGCAGGGGAGGTGGGAAGGGGCAGGCCTGCCCAGCCTCCCACATGCAGGAGCCCCAGGTGTCCCCTGGGGAGCTGGTGGCCGGCCAGGAGGGGGAAGTCACGGGCAGTCATCGCACCCAGAGCCTTGTCCTGCCTGAGTTCCCTGGCCCCCATCACTCGCCGTTCTGGATGCCCCTAACATGTTTGTGGGGACGCTCCGCCCCCACCCTCCAGCGTGGGCAGCACAGGGTGGAGGGGCCACCACACCCGGCTCCCCTGCTTCCCCAGCCCCTGCTGCCCGCTGCCCTGGCTCCTTGACGCACACTCTGTCCCCTACCCTTCCGGCCCTCTCCCCCAAAGATCCTCTCCCCAACCCCCTGCCTGCCCGCCACGCGCCACTCCACTCTCCCTCTGGCACAAGAGAACATTTCTAGAAAACTCTACTTTTGTATCAGTGTGAATAAAGTTAGTGTGTTGTGTGTGCAGCCGCAATCAGACTCCTACGCACGTCTCCCTGCTCTGCTTCCAGAAGGCAGCCCAGCCTCAGGCTGGGGCCGCGCCTGCCTGTTCTCCGGACGAACGGGCTCCCTGGGGTTTGAATGGGAGCTGACGACCAGGCCCACCAGGCCGTCGTTTTTCTGCGCAGTGCCTCCTGAGAGTCAGGCAGCTTCCCAGATGCCTGCGTACATTCATTTGTTTAATCTTCATGTTTAATCTTACACGTGAAGAGACTGTGGCACAGAACTTGCCTGAGGTAACACGGCTTGTAAGAGGTGGAGTTAGGATTCGAACCCCGGCCTGCTGAACCTCTTTACTGCCTCTCAGTTCTCAAGCAGCTACTTCGTGCCCTCGGGCCTCAGGAATAACGTACATTGTGCAGGATTGAGGATAAAATTAAACAAACTACCTTCCACATCTTAAGCAAAACAAGCTAAACTCGGATAGACCAAGCCTGTGAGATGTCACAGCATTCACCTAGTGGCCAAGGGCACCTTCCCCCATCCCCTTGCCCCCAGAACGCCCATCCTCTGCGGTCCCAGAGAGGCCCTCACGTGTCACAGGGCATCCTTGGACAAAGAAGATGGACATAGAATGAGACAAAATGGGCTTTGGCCCTGGAGCTGCTTGGGATTTAAGGCCACTTAACCTTGCCAAGGCTCAGTCCCCCCACATGGAAAATGGGACAAGTGCCATTTGCCCCATGCAGGGAGTGAAGGGACCAGCAAGCAGCCGCTGGCCCTCCTACGCCTCACCTGGGCTCGGTTCAGGTGCATACAATTCCAGCGTGTTTGACCTTTGAAAGGAAGTTTGCCAGAACAGCCACTGTACAAACTTTGGCAGATTCTCTCTGCCCTCCTCCCCCCACCCCCCACCAAGATAGAGGCTTGAAATTCTTCTTCCAGAGCAGGCTGCTTCCTTGCTTTGAGAAAAATACACTATACACCCTTTGGCTACTGAAGATGAAGGCAAGCATTTACCCTGGAATGGGACGGGGAGTTGGTGGGGCCGCACTGCCCTGCTCGGTGATGGAGAGGTGCTTGTCCTGTGGCTGGAGGGGCTTCTCTACAGACATCTGGAGAACAGGGGTGGTGCCTGGCTTTCTCCTCCCTGCGGCCTGAGGAGCTAGGAGCCTGGCCCCCGAGTGGGGCAGACTTGCGCTACTGCATGTGCGGGAGATGGGCCTCTGAGACTCGCCACTGGCTCTGGGCTAAGGAAACCTGGGAAGAGCTGAGTCTATGTACATTTTTACAGGTTTTCACCGTGTGTTCCCTCCTTTTGGTTGTCCCCATGCTTTCAATCAAGTCACACTTTAGTCCGGTCCTTACTGCTGTGGAGTATTGGGTGGTGGGTTCCCGCGTAAAGGGAACCCAGCTGCCTGGGGAAAGCCGTCTGCGGGGCCCCAGGAGGGGAGGGCAGAAGAAAGTGAGCATTTCTCCACAACACACTGGGGGGTGAGGGCAGCCTGGTCAAAGAGAGGAATAATGTACAATGACGCTGTCAGCTGGGCAGGCCTGCAATCCCTATGTGTTTGGGCCATAAAGGGAGGCATGTCAGCCACGGGTCCCATAGGTCCCCAGGCCTCCCTGGCAGGAAGAACACAGGAACAGAACATACCGCCAAGCTCTCAAAACTCCGCTTTATTGACTTCCAGTGTTTCCCTCTGGTATGAGCTCAGCCCAGCTGGCTTAGAAAGGTCTCTCAGACACAGTGTCACAGGGTCTGGCAACACCCTGGCGCCGCCCTCCCCTCCCCGGCCACTGGGCTCCCCAGGCAGGGAGGAGGAGAGGCAGCTCAGCTGTGGTGGTGGAGAGAATGGGCAGCAGGGGCAGAGGCCGTAGAAGCAATACAAGCAGCAACATGCCTGGAGTACCCATTGCATGCCAACCCCAGACAATGACAGACACACACACGCATCCCAGAGGATGGTCCACACCCATCAGCTTTTCAGTGATCCCGCCCCAGCTTGTTCCTCAGATCCCAGTACTGCCCACAGGAAAAGAGCTGCTCCCAGGTGACATGGGGCCTTGATTTGTACACTCTGACCTCTCTAAGCTTGAGGCTAGCGAGAGGTGTCAGGGAAATGGAAGCTCAGACCATTACCCCTTCATCCACGTTCTCACCACCTCTGCCAGGGAAAAATCAAATGATAAGATCTCCCCATCTCACTGCAAGTGACAGGCCAACCTGGGCTGGAACTACATGTCCCAAGATGCACAGCTCCATAACCACACACCGCTTCCCACCAGCAAGATCTATCAGAAATGAGGCAGGGTGTGTTGCATTCTGGGACTAGTAGTCCCCAAGAGACAGCACCAAACACCCAGTGAAGAGTTTACAGGCTAAGACTACTGCCGCCTCCCACCCGGCCCCCACCCACCGTCCAGGCCCAGCTCTATGCTTAACACAGGTGAGGGAGAGGAATGGAGGGTCCCCTCCCAGCGCACAGGGGAGGGCGCTGTCCTGTTGGAACTGTGCATCGACTCTGGATCCCGGACATCCAGCTCAGAACACATCTGGGGAGAGAGCGGGGGTGGGTGACAGGAGAGAGGGTCAGCAGCAAGCCGTGGTGGATGGCACCGCTAAGCATGCACACCTGGGCTAGCCCTGTGGCCTCTCCCTGAGCCCTGATGCATGGGGAAGTAGGACGGGGCACAGTCCCCTCCTAGGCCTCCCTCCGGGGGGCACCCTGGCCCTATCCCACTTCTCCAGGGTTAGCCGGCCTCACCTCTGCCTAGTCCCGAGGCCTGGGGCAGGCTGAGGCAGCAAGAGGAAGGGAGGAGGAGTGGGCTCCGGTTCCGAATCTGGACGGCCGAGAGGCTCCCGCCCCACCCAGCTAGCCTCCCCGGAAGACCTTATGGCCCTACCGGCCACAGCATCTTCCTCGCCACACTGAGGCCTTCTTGGGGAAGGAAGAAGGGAGTCCTAGCCAGACGGCAGTGAAAGCAAGCGATGCGGCCCACGGGGAATTGCAGAGAGGAGAGTGTGAGGAAGAAGAAGCAGCACCAGAAGGGAAGCAACAGAGACAGTCAGAGCTCAACACTGCGCAGAAACCAGGGTGGGGGTGTCCGCAGCTGAACAAGGAGAGCTGAAGACTCTCCGGTGTAGCTGCCAACTTGGGCTCAGAGAACCCCAGGCCAAGTCCTCCTTCCTTGACATCGTCAGCAACACAGGTGGCAGAAGACCTGGGCACAAAACGCCTGCCCCGGACCACTAAAGGCCCTTAGAAACCCCCCGTCACATAAGAAGTGCATCCTGGCTCCTCAGGCCCTCCCACAGCCCTGAGGCCCCCACCCCGGGCTTCACCAGGGACCTATCAGCTCAGCAGAGCAAAGCCCGAGTCCACACTGGAGCGTGGAGAGAGGGGACCAGAGGGAGCATAGAGTCGGAGGGGCCACACCCCTCTCTGTGCTGACAGTGGGCAGGACCCCAGGTCACCCTGAATCGGGGTGGGCTGAGCTGGGCGATCAGAGGATGAGGCACCGAGAGGCCTTCTCCTCCGGGGGCGGGCCGGGTTTGGCTGCATTACCCCTTGCGCTCTCATGAGTTCCCCCCATGCCCCGGTCTTGGTACTGGGCCTTGGGATGCCCCTGCCGTCTTCGCTGTGCCTCCCGCCCACCTGCCGGCTTCTTCCCAGCTGCCTCCATCTCTGACAGGCTGTAGGCCATGGCGAGCTGCAGGTCCTCATCATCCTCAGAGAGGTCGCTGTCAGAAGGGCGTGAGGCAGGGGTCTGCCGCACCTGCATGCCTCCAGGTCTGGAGGTGACGGACTGTTGCTGCTCACGACGGCTCAGCTCCAAGCCCAGTGCCAGGTCATCTGGAACACCTGTGGGGGTCCCGGCCACCATGAGGCCCTCGGGCCCAGGCCAGGGGAGCCCTGCCAGGCTGCCTCAGGTGGCAACAACCCTGACCCCTTCCAGCCCCTCTTTTGGATCTGCCATTCATGTGTTTTAACACCTAGCATAGTGGTTACGACCATGGGCAGGTATTCAGCTCCAGCAGGTATGAGCTATCTCCTTGGGCAAGTTACTCAACCTCGCTGAACTGCCCTTTCCTCATCTACGGGATGGGAATGATGAGAATGTTTACACTGTCAAGTTGTTCCAATGGTTAAATAGGGCAGCACAGTGTTCCCAGGGTCCGCGGGCATGAAAGGGAAGCCATGGCGAACACTCTGTGCAGTGAGATGTTGTGGCAAGAGTTCAGCTCCAGGAATCCTGCGTCCTGAATTTCATTCCTGGATTTCCCCCTTACTAAGCAGGACAGAGCCTTGGACCGGAGGTACTCGGGATCACGACCATTTAACTGTGCTGAGGTGCAGCCTCCTCAAATGAAAACTAGGGCGAACGCCAACTGCCCTGCTTTCCCCTCGCTGTTTGAAGAATACAGGGGATACGGAATGTGCACAAGTGCTTTAAAAATAGTAGAGTTCTGCAAATGCACCCCAATAATAACGACAGTGGCTTAGTTGGCCCTCTGAGACTCCTCAGTCCCCTGCCCTGGCCCCCGTCGTTCCCCATGATCCTGCCAGTCTGGCCTGGGGTGGCCATTCCCTCCCTGCCCCAAGGGAGCTCAGGCTGGACCACTTTGGGGAGGGAGCCTTGGGGCATGGGGCAGGGGCTTCCTGCCAGGGACTGAGTGCAGAGCCGCTCCTCACCATTGATTGTGATTGACTTCAGCTGCCCGTCCTCCTCCACTTCCACCCGTTCCTGCCCGTTTTCCATGATTCTGTGGAGAATCACAGCACAGGTCACTCAGCGGGCATGCCTGGGCCCCGCAGGTTCTCACGCAGGCTCTGGGATGCCACAGTGAACAGGACAGACAGGGCTCTCTGCCCTCCAGGGGCTGACATTCCGGCTGTGTGCAGCTCCTTCTCCACCCGGCATGGTCCCAGGAGGAGCCCTCACCTGCGTGTCGTGATGCGGTGTCCTTGGACAAAGGTGGTGGATGTAGAAACGGAACGAAAAGCACCAGCTCCAGGACTGAAGGAGAAAGACGAGGAGGAGAAATCTGGCATTGGGGCAGAGGAGGAGAGGCTGTTAGACGGGGGCTGTGTGCGGAAGGCTGCGGTCACAGTGGGCCAGGAGCCTCCGTGGGTTCTCCCCGCAGGCAGAGCTCCGGGCGCACCAGACAAAAGACTTGGAAGAGCCACGCGGTGAGGTGAACGGTTCCCGGACTCAGAGCTTGCAAATATGGGAAGGGGCAGCACTTACCAGAGTGCCCAGGGAAGGAGGAAGAGAAGGTGAAGAAGGGGCCCGAGTGTCGTGAACCCCGATTCTGAAGCTCTGAGAAGGGGCCCAAGTCATCTGCAACAAGGAAGCAGAGCAACAATCATCTGGTGAAGACATTTCCCCCCAAAAATGTGTAAATTCTGCTTTTATGTCTAGAAATATAAGCTACTAAGCAACTGGGTGCATTTCTGACTTTTTTTCCTTTTCTGCTTGGACTGACTTACAAATTAAATTCCTTTTCAATATTACATATGAAAAAGTTCAATAGTAAATGTTGTCTACGATAACGAATAAAGGAAGGAAGGGGAGAAGGGAAAGCAGGAGGGAGGACAGACAGCTCCTTCCATAAAAGAAGCTCAGTGTGGTGTGATGTCAGGCAAACCCCGCGATCAGTCCCACTCTGCCATGTGCTGTGTGTCTGCAAGCAAATTATTTGAATGTGCCTCAGTTTTGTCATCTGCAAATGGGGATAAAATTATCTACCTCACAGGGTTCATATTAATCATTCCAGAAAACCGTATGTGGTGTTGTTTGTAATGGCATTATTATTGTCACATGAGGCTTTGAGTCTTGCTTTCATGGCTGTCATTGTGGAGGTCTAACAATGCATTATTGTTATCGTTTAATAAGACAAGTCTCTGAAGTGTCGCTATAGGGTCATGGGAGTTCAGGCCTGTGTAAGAGCTGGATCCACCCCCACAAAAACCTTCAGTCTGTGGAATTCTGCTTCCCTCTCAGCCTCCCCCAACCCCAAGGACCTCCCAGCTGATGGAAGGTGGGCCTGGAGGGGCAGCCAAGCTAGTCAGAGGCCTCCTGAGTGCACTCACCAAAGAGCTCCGCAAAAGGGTCTCCACTGCCGAAGAACTCCCGGAAGACCTCCTCGGGGCTGCGGAAGGTGAAGGTGAAGCCAGGCCCCCCACTGCCAGCTTCCGCCCGAGATGGGCCAGTTGCTGGAGGGGAGGCAGGATGAGAAGGGGGCTTAGGACAGATACTTGCCCGGGCCCGGGGACCCCGCTGAAGGCATGGCCAGCAGCCCCGAGAGAACATCCACTGTAAGAATCTGCCCTCCCCCCTCTCCTCCCTGACCCACTTTGTCCATCCCTGGGCCCCACTGTTCCACCTACCTGCTCCAGTCAGCCCTTCCCGGCCATAGCGGTCATAGATCTCTCGTTTGTGCTCTGGAAGGAGAGACCAGATCATTCCTCCCTCCCTCTGGGGTGTTGGCCTCCCCTTCTGGGCTAAGACCCTCAGAGGCCTGCCCAGAGACTGACACTTGGGGGCAGCAGGGTGCACAGGGGAGAGGGGCTGTAGGTTTTAGCAGCAGCTCGGCCCTTCACACAGTGACTCCTTCTCATCTGTAAAATGGACATGGTAACAGCACCTACCTCCTAGGATTGTTGCCGGATTAAATGAGATAATTCATGTAAGTGGCTTAACACAGTGCCTGATAAGTAGTAAGCGTTCCATAAATGTGAGCTAATTATTACTGTGTTGTTATTGATCAGTACTTAGCCTAAATATCCCTTTCTCAGAGGGGCCTTCAGGGCCATCGCAACAAAAATTGCTGCCTGTTATTCCCTGTCACATCCCCCTGCTACTTTCCTTTGCAATTCTCTTGTCTATTTATTTATTTGCTTCATGTCAATCTTCCCTGACCAGGATGTGATAAGCCCATCAGGGTGAGGACAGTGCCTGCTTGTCCTGCATGGTTCCCCAGGACCCAACGAGGGCCCAGCACCATAAGCATTCAAATGAATATTTTTTGAATGAATGAAAAAAAAGACCTGGATTCATATGCCAGCTGTGTGATCTTGAGCACGTTACTTCGCCTCTCCCAGCCTCAGTTTCCTGGCCAGTAAAATCCTGCCTCACACGATGGCTGTGAGGACTCACGGAGATTACACCCACCAATGCCTGGCACAGAGGCGGCTCCGTACTCATTGGTTACCCGCCCTGCATCCTTTCCTTTGTCAGTCCCCACGCTGCAACTAGCAGATCCTAGGGAGCAGACACTGAGCACAGGGAATTAGGGAAAGAAAAAAAGGTGCTTTGTACATAGTACAGGTGCTCATTTAAAGGAAACAAAGTCCCAGAGTCCCTGTGGGAGGAGGGGCATTTAAATGGCAGGTTGGAAAAGGCATGGCTTTGGGAAGGAGCGCAACGGGGCATGAAGTGGGGGCGATGGGTGCTGCCCTGCCCTGACCCTGGCCTTACTGTCTGACAGCACTTCGTATGCCTCGGCCACCTCCTTGAACTTCCTCTCAGCAAATTCTTTATTATCCGGGTTCTTGTCTGGGTGCCATTGTAGAGCCTTCCGCCGATACCTGTAGGAAGTGGGTTCAGAGGGGAGGGTAAAGGGACAAATGTAACCACTTTCCACCAGAGAACAGAATGACCCATTTTCCCATTAGCCAACCAATGTCCTTTCACCCCAGCTGCTGGGGCTGCCCCTGTATTTTAATAGAGTCCCTATCTCCTTTCTGGAGTCAGTGCTAGGACTAATTGTGTTAACAGGTGATAATGTGAGGGTGAGAAGGCCCAGCCCTAAACCCTCCCTGGTGCTCGCTGGGGCTGTGGTTCAAAGGTGGAGTTGCCATGGAGAGTAGAGGGGCAGTGGTCCCTTCTGGTCACATTGCCTGGGCATCTTTGCACGGCATAGTAAGAAAGCCACATCTAGGGATTGGGGAGGAGGGGAAGGGAGGGTTTACGAGAGAAGGATCCACAGTGCAGCTCCCAGCAGAACTTCACAGCTATAGACTGTCTCCCACTCATCCAGGGGTCTCCTTCCTCCCTACAGACATCAAGGACCTGGTTCCTTAGGCACTGCCTCTGAAGGGCCCCGTGGGGCTGGTGGTGGGGGTTGGGGGTTTGAGAGGCTTTGTGGTGCACCGTGGAGGCACTTACGCCTTCTTGATGTCATCAGCGGACGCACTTCGCGGCACGTCTAGGATCTCGTAGTAGGATGCCATGGCAACTCGTCTGTAGTCAGGCTGGCCTCCGAGGGGCTGTAGGAGAGAAGGACGAGTCAGGCGGAAAGACCCAAGGGCGCCTCCCTGGGGCTGGAGCCCCCCAGGGTGGCGGGAGGCGCTCCCGGAGGGAAGCGGAGCCTCCTGGGCTCTGCTTGCTGCGGGTGACTAGGCTGGCTCGGGCAGCCTTATCGGCCCCTTCAGGCCACTGGCTATCTCGGTGCCTAGGCCCGGGGAGCCCTATCGCAGTCCCCTAACTCCGCAGCCCGGCCCAGGGACCCCAGCCTGACGCGGCACCCAGCCCGCACCTCCTCCGCCCAGTCCTAGGGCTCCTGCGGCGCCCCGCCCCCTGCACCCCGCCGGGAACCGTCTGGCACCCGCTGCCGGGCTCGCGGCTGCTGCGTAGGACGCTCCCGGCCCAGCTGTGCGCGCAGGCCTGCGTCAGCTGCACCGAAACTACTAGAGACTCGGAGGAGGCCGGCTTGGCCTGTCACCCGGGGGATGGTGGGGGGGACGGGGCGGGGGTTGGTGAGGTGGGGGGGGAGTGCTGCTGCAGGGGTTGCCGGGAGATGGGGGCGGAGCCGGCTATTTTGGGCTTGCACAGGACTACGTCATCCCCAGCTGGGACCTGGGAGACAGCGGCCGGTTCCATCCAGGCGTGACGCACTTGCCAACCAACAAACCACCTAGGCCCTGGTCCCTGTCGCTTTTTTAGAAATAAGCTCGATGATCGATGGTTACTCTCCCCGGAGGAAATCGCCACGTCAGGGACTCACAGGCTCCTGTTGAGGCGTAAATCCTCCTTCTTCAAATTCCAGCTCTAGTCTCAGGTCCTCAAAGGAGGCTGCCCCGACTTACCTGAATAGGTCAGACCTGCCTCTCATAGCATCTTGTGGCATCCTTCATCACTCTTGTCAGAGTTACAAATTAGCATTTATTTGTTTGTTTGGATATTCACTTCCCCCACTAAAACGTAAATTCCACAGGGCAGAGCTTCTGTCTTTTTCTACTGGAGTATTAGGGCAGTGGTTATTATCAATAATAACCATTGGATGATTAAATAGTGAACAGATGCGAACCTCTTATTGACAGTTTTGACACATTTGGGGAAGCAGGGTTAAGGGGTAGAAGGAAAACAAACAAACAAAAAGTCCCGGGTTTCAAGATTTTTCTTCCCAAAGTGATCCTGAGTAGACTTTCACCTCAAAGTGATTCCTGGTTTCAGGCCTCATGGGATATTTAGAGAACCTTCCAGAACTGACTCCTGCTTGATATCGCGCAGGCCAATCCAGCAAGCATTAATTGAGCACCTTCTACACAGCAGATGTTGTCAGGATACAAAAAGAAGAACGTGGCCTAATCCCTGCCTTCCCAGAGCGCCGACTTGGTAAAATACCAGCCCATTAATACAGCCCACTGGGAAACCCCAAGGCTTTGGAAACAGGCAGACCTGGGTTTGCAACTGGCACTACTGTGGGATTTGAGAAAATCTCTGAGGACTCAGTTTTTCCTCCCTAAGTACAGGTAACGTCTAGGGCTGTTTAAAAGTCTGGTGAGGTGGGGTATACAGTAGATTTTAGTACAGGTCTTCTCTGGCATCATTATTGGCCCAAGCAGTAATGGTTCTATGAGTCCAGAAGAGTGTTTTAGGCTAGGTGACCCAGAAATTCCTTGCCAAAGAGAAAGCTTGAGCCAGGTATGAGAAAAGAAGAGTGGTGTGTACTTGTCCAGCTGTCCTGGCGGCCCACAGTCTGAGCCTCCTGCCTACATCTGGGGAATTCCCATTGTGCACAGGTCTTGATGGCAGGCAGGGCCACCACAAACTGCCACAAGGCCCCGGCACTTGCTCTCCTAGACTCCTTGGCTCCAAGGGTGCAGGCAAAAGACATGAGCTCTGCTAGTCAGAAGCTCCCACTGGGACTTTGAATCTGGATCAAGTCACAGAGAAGCTGGGACAGTCGAGAATTCATTTCTGCAACTGTGGTGGCAGCGGAGCCAGCAGCGGGACCAGCAGCGGCCTCTAGTGTCTGGAGGAGAAAATGTCAGCCTCAGTGCCAGGTTGGGAGGGGGCCTCACTGCAGTGGGCAGAGGGACAGAGGTCTTTCAGGCGGGCAGTCCTGTGCCCTGACCTTGACTATGTGCTGGCTTCCCATGTTTTCTTGGTGCCTACTTGTCTGCAAAGGCCTGTTGGATGGCCCTCGTATGGATTCTGTGCGCTACCCAATATCTCTCCAAATCTACTTTTTTTAAGAGTTGTATTTTCAGGGGGTGCAGGGTGGAGGGGGAGAAAAGGGAGAAAAAGATGGGACAACTGTAATAGCATAATCGATAAAATATACTTTTTAAAAAAGAGTTGTATTTTTTTTAATCCTCACCCAAGGATATGTTTACTGATTTTTAGAGAGAGAGAAACATCGATATGAGAGAAAAACATCGATCGCTTGACTCCCGTACATACCCGAGCAGGGACCAAACCAGAAACCTTCTGGTGTACTGGACAATGCTGCAACCAACTGAGCCACCCTGCCAGGGCTGTGTTTTCTTGTTTTAATTTGCCAGAGTTAGTTTCTGCTGTTTCCAACAAGAGTCCTACTGATCTTGGTATAAGAGCAAGGAATAGGTTAGATTAGATTACTCCAAAATCTTCCAAATCTCTTTCTTCTTACTTCTCTTATCTCCATAGACATTTGTCTAGCACCTACCATGTATGTGATATTATATTAAGAACAGGAATACAAAGAGGTTTAAGTTTCAGTTCCTGTACTCAAGAGGATGAAAATCTCGTTGAGCCATAAACAAATAACAGCTGAGGGAAATTATATAAAACACATCAAGCAAACAGGGTTAATTTCCTTTGTTCACAAAGAATTGCAACAAATTAGTAAGAAAAGACAAATAATGCCACTTTTAAATGGGCAAAGGGCACAGACAAGACAGTTCACAGAAGAGAAAGTACTGACTTTTAAACAATTGAAAAGATGCTCAATCTCATTCATAACAAGAGAATCATAAAGAAAGCTGTGACAAAATACTGTTTCACTTATCAGACGATTAACAAAGGTCAAAAAGTTTAATACAGCATATGGGCAAGGCTGTGCGCACAAGCATTCTCATACACTGGTAGGGGGAGTATAATTTGGTATAACTTCTGAAGAGAGTAATATGAGGTATGTCAAAATTAAAGGTGCATAGCCTTTGATCAGCTACTGCATTTTAATAATTTATGGTTGTACATATGTGCAAAGAAGCATGTACAAGGGTTACAGCATTCTTTTCAACAGCAAAGAATCAGCAACAACCTAAATATCCATTAATAGCACACTGGTTAAACAAGTAATGGAATGGAATGGAATACAATGCAATACTATATTGCCACCAGAAAGAATGAGATATATTATTTACATGTTCTGATGCAGACCATCTTCTAGATTTATTAAGTGAGACAACCAGGTATAGAACAATGTGAATCTAGATGTGTATATACACATTAGTGTATACATAGATGTCTCTGGAGGGAAACACTCACAAAAAAGTTAACAGTGATGGCTGCCAAGAGGGGAGCCAATGAGGGAAACATTTTCACTGTATAAACTTAGTTTTGCTGTTTGTAAATCTGTTTTGTACTTTCTGAATTCTGAAGAATGTGCACATAACTGTACAAATACATACAGAATTTTTTAAAAATCTAGCTGAGGAAATAGAGTATTGGCAAGAAGCCAAGTGCTACCATTCAAGGCAGAATATACCAAGTACTAAACGAGTGCTAGAGACACAGCAGAGGCTGGGAGAATCTAGAGGGGGCAGAGATCCCCAGGGTTGGATGGGTCCTGGATTACCATGACCTAAACTGGAAGGAATGGCAACATTGAGACAAGCAGGGGGAGGTGGCATTCCAGAGGAGGGAATGGTGAGAACGCAGCTTTGGAGGCAGGCATGTTCCTGACACATCAGAGACGAGAGAATAAAGGTGTTTGGTGGGATCCACAGCTGGGACTCTGTCTCGTGTCCGCCTGCAGGAGATAATTGCAGCCTGGCTTTAGAAGCCTCCGGGATGAAATCATCCCCCTGCACTGAGGGAGTCCGCAGGAGCCAGGCTGGGTGGCACTCCCAGCTGCCCCGGGGAGGCCAGAGTTGCCACCGCCCCACACCCGCACCCACACCCAGTCCAACCCGGGCCTGCCGGTGCCTGCCAGCGGAGTTTCTAGCTGGGAGGCCTTTCGGGGTCTGAGAGGGGATGGCCTTACAGCTGTCCTGGGTGGGCTAGCAGGTGCAGCCAGCAGGAGGGGATGCCCAGCTATCCTGGCAGGTGAGCCCTCACCTCCATCTTGGACCCCCCACTGGGCTCTCCCCAGCCTTCCCCTCACCTCCTGTGAGATGTTGGGGGTCAGGGAGAGGGCTTTACAGAGGGCGCTGACAGTCCCAAAACGTGGCCCCAAAGACACCTCTGCCTCTGCCCTTGTTCAGCCCAGGAACCGGGTCCCTACACCCACCCCCCAACACGTGCCCTCCACCACCGTGCCTGGGCAGGGTAGTGTCGAAGGGAGTATCACCCCCCTTCTAGAGCACCTGAGTCACTGTCTTGGAATTGGGGACCTGGCAGGCCAGGAAGAGGAGGTGTCTGGAGGGGCGCCTGGAACTGCTGTGGGCAGGAGCTGAGGGCATCTGAACAAGGGGAGGGCAGCAGCACAAGCTTTGGCCCAGGCTGACCGAGGTTTGAATCCTTACTCCTCCCTTTACTAGCTGAGTATCCTTCAGCAAGTCACATAACTTCTTTGAGCCTTAGTCTCCACATCCATAAAATAGGCATTCATTTAACAAGTCTACTCCACAGGTATTGAGTTATCTAACATATGTTGGGCAAGATTCTGGTACTGAGGGTAGAACAGGCCTTGTTTCCCTGAAGCTTCCAGTCCCGTGGGTACAACTGCATTTACCTCAGGATTAAAGAAGATAACATGGATACTGGACCTTAGTCCATAGTTGATGCTCAATAAATGACAGTGATTTCTTGGGGTTTAAAGGGCTCCCCAAAAAACTCTCTTCCCTTCTCAAGTTTGACGTGAGTCAAATAGAGATTTGGAAGTCAGTCCTTTTAGTGGAGAAATAAACAGAGTTGAGGATATAGCTGAGCTATTCAGCCAAAATTGGCTTCTAAATATTCCCTCTGAATTAAATTACCACCTCCCCCGCACCCCCCCCCCCCCCGCCCCCCGCCTCCCCACGCAGACCAGCACCACACACACAAATACGCGCAACTGCAGGTCTCTTTCTCCCCGGGGCAGAACTTCCCCTGGGAATGTAAATCCTCCACTTGGAGTTGAGAACACTTGCTGTCTCTGGACAAGTGATTCCTATCTAGAAGGAGGGAAGTGCTACGCTGGGCGTGCCCATTTTCTTCTCTAAACCGCCCCCTCACCACTCTGTTGCTTCCACTCCATCCTTTACTTACTACAAAGTGATTATTGGGACAAATGTGACAGGGA